TCTAAATACATACTTATATCATGTGTTCGCTATCGATAGGCATGAGTGGCCATGCTGGCCAACTAACTTTGAAAGATTAAATACTTTCTGTTGTTAGAACACCAACCCATACACTTTAAATTACAAGAATCGCACAAATAAAGAACACGTACTTAATGCTTCCAATCAAATAAATCAAACGTTGACTGCGCAAGTCAAAACAAAAACTTTCGAGTAAGTCCAAGGCAAGGTCAGTAGAAGAAAAAAGTAAAAACGTCTATTCTTTGAAGTTAATCGAGACAACCACAGCTTGGAAACTTTCTGACTCGATAGCTTAAATCTAAATAACTTGGGACTCCAAAACTTTAAATGGAACGGCTACAGGCTAAATATAAACCAATTTCTACATCACGCTGAACTAAAATAACACTATGAAACACTTATCAGCTTATGTATTCACGTCGCCGCTGTCACTTGAATGGTAAAACGGCGTCAGATTTCTTCCTTAGCCAACGAAATAAACAAATTCTCATTGTGGAGCCAAGAGCACTGAACACACAAACACAGACAGTGACAGGTAAAGAGTACCAAGTTTTGACGTAATAATTGAAATAAAACATTAAGATCATAAAACAGTTTTCTAATACAAACAAAAAGTTTGATAGAAGTACAATCACACGCACACCTTTTGCTTCTGCTTCTTCTCTAACGAATAACGCCGAAGCATCATCTCTCAGACAGTGAAGCCCATAAACAATATCATAAGGAAGACCTCTCCTATACCTCTTTTCAGAATAAAAATCGCTACTACCACAGCACAAGAATGAAATGATCACACGCCAATAACCCACCACTTGTAGCTGATGGTGAAATAACAGATGGCGAACAGTCGACTGCTCAGGAGAAGTGAATGAGTAACATACACTGCAACTTTGTGTTTTACTTTCAAGTCACTGCCACTTGATATGATTATGTCGAGGTCAGCGAGAGACCATTCATCAGTGACTGTAAAGGCCCAGGCCAGAGTAAGGAAAGAAACAGGTAAAGAAATAATTTGAATAATCGCAGCTGGTTCCTCTTGAACACTGATGGCGTATAACTGGATTATAAATTGAGGAGCAGACTCAAGGACTGCTTCAAACAGCACAGCAGTGTCAATGTGATCGAGTACAACATCAGCCTTCCTATAAGTATCTCTGTTGATTTCATCTTCAAACCACCATTTCCTGAGAAAGAAAATAAAAGCTTCCATTCTTGCAAAGGCTGCTGAAAATGGATGGAATGCACAAAGAACAGTTTTTGCAAAAATAAAAAGTTAAAGTGTTATCGTCATCAGAGCGCATGAAACAGAACAACACTGTAAACACCAAACATGGCAATAAAACAAAAGTAAGCCCCACACCAAACCACGTCTTGTGATCCGCGCGATAGAATTCCACCAGTGTGAATATGTCGGTGACGGGATCAGCAAAACTCAGAATAGCTCCAACAAAGAACACGAAAGGACTGTACCACTGAAGATCCTTCACTTGCATATCGACGAACCTTTCGTTAGCTTGCCTAACAGATCGGCTTGTATTGACCTAGGCTCGGTTAGTAATTAAACTTGTTTGGTACACTGTGTTCGTAATCAAAGGCTTTTGCGCTCAGCCTTGACTGAATAACTGCAAAGTTTCTTTTAGTTTACTGTGATTTAACTCTTGAGGTCACAGAAAGAGGCTTGTTGCGCGTCTGTATGAATTTCAAAAGAAAATGCTGGAAACCGATTGGTTCTCAGAATATTCTTTCTAACGCAATCTGGGAGAGCTGGCGTCTTTGTGATTACATTTCAAGGTGGAATTAGCAAACCTAAAATTAGTTCCAACAAGGGACACAAAAGGACCGCACGGTTACTAAAGTAGTTTGTTGCACTGTTAGTGATCACAAACTTTTGAACTGTTCCTCGACTAAAAAAACTCAGTTGCAAAATTTAATTTGGTTTAATTAGTCTGATTTCACGCTAAAGGACACAGAACAGGGTGACCGTCTCTACTCATCCAAGTGTAGTGTTTTCAAGTTGTTGGAGACTGATTGGTTCTCAGATAAATCTTTCTGACGCAATCTGGGAGAGCTGGCGTCTCTGTGAAGAGGTTCCTTGTGGAGTGTCTAATGACTAACCCAAACTTTTACCTCTCAAAAGTTCCTCGTTATTATATTCAGGTAAATATCATAGTTATTTGACGATAAGTAATTGAAGTTAGCTTCTTAACAGTCGGCTGATGAATGTTCAATTAAGCTGCGCGGAACATACAACCGTTTTTACAAAGAAACACACATGAACAAATGAGTTCAAACGAACGTCAAATTTAATCCTGAAAACTGACCTCAGCGTGCAAAGTCTGTCAATCAGAATATCAGTTTGCTGCAAACAATTTTAGAGCAGTCCTCATGCAATGCCTCGCGTTGTTATCAGGGTCGCCTACGCGACTTACAAGTTAAACCAGTTTCACCTCAGACCTTGTCAATTTGAAAACATCGGTTCTAAAACGACCCTTGGCAAGTATGGCTTCTGTATTCCTCATATCGTACTTATATGATTTGAAGCTATTATATAATAGGACGTCAAAATCAATGTGCCCCTTCAGACATTTAAAAAGAAACATAAATCTAAAACCACCCTTCTAAACTCGAGAGGCAAAAGAGCTAATATAAGTAAACGTTCTGGATAAGTTAGATCACATTTCAAGATAAACTTGGTGGCACCCCTTTGAACACGCTCAAGGGCCTTAAGTTTTTCTTTAGTATAGGGAGACCAAACTTGAGATGCGTACTCCAGCTGCGGTCGTACCAACGATTTATATAGAATCAACATAGTTTTTTGGTCGCAATCAACGGTTCACGTTCTTTAGATAATACCCAACATCTTATTTGCTTTACTTACAGCAAAGTCAATGTGATCGTTCCAGGATAATTTCGGAGAAACATGGCGTTATTCTTGTCTCCCCCAAATGATGTCGGCATAATAAAAAAGTGGACTTATTAAAGAATTGTACAATGTAATTCGCGTTTCTAATGGTAACAGATGCTTGACTCGTTTTAGTAAACCGATTCTTTGTATTATTTTGGTGATTAATTTTACTGATTCGATGTGCTCGTACCATGTCATGTTCTTGTGGATGACTACAACGAGATAGGTGTTCATCCAAATCTTCGTCGTTTTAGCGTGCATTTTCGATCATCAAAAAATAGTTGAACTAATTTAACAAACATACTTCATCGTTCCAATTTCAAGTTTATGTATTTCGCGCATGACTGCTGTTCGTAGCTGGTGAACCAGTCACAGAGGATTCAGACCCTCGTCAGGGATTCGACCCCCACCCTTCCCCTCCATTCAAATCCGTTAACAGATAAGAGAGCCTCTCTGTCAGTAGCTGTGGAGGCCGGGGCCAGCGTGAGAGAAGAGACAGGTGAAAACATCATTTGAATAATCGCAGCTGGTTCCTCTAGAACACTAATGGCGTACAACGGAATTATAATTTGTGGTGCGAACTCAAGTACTGCCTCTTAGAGCACAACAAAGCCAAGATAAGAGATGCAAGTTAATTTTTATTTTCAGATCACAATTTTTTGAGTCATAAACATTAGTTAAAGCCTCAAGCCTCGTGATCGATGGCTGCTAGAAATGGATGAATGGATTTTAAAGTTAATCAATAATTATGGCGTGTTTCCTCTTTGTTTTGTTCAATTTACACCATCCGAGCAGGTTGTCCCAGAAGAAGCAAGCACACTGAATGTTGAATCAAGGGTTTGGGGAGGGACGTAAGCTTTTTTTTCCTTGAGCGTATCGTAGTCATATATATATCGTCTGACCTTTTTGCGGTAGCACAAATAATTCCGTTATTTTTCAGTGCTTGTCCGTCTTCTTGTAAAGAGATTGTAAAAAAGAAGCATATCGCATGAAGTCCATGAAAAGATAATTAACCTTTGACATCCGCGGAAGATAAATCACGTCCGATGAACATTTAATTCCGAGAGCCAGATAAATTTGGTCCTCCGGGCATTGGTTTTCAGATGAAAACTATGGAAACTGTCACAAAACTATTAGCGCTAGACGCCGCAGTGTTGTTGCTTCTAAGATGGTCGCAAAAAGATTGTTAAAAAAAACCCATATTGTTCGGTTAAGTTTTAGGTAAAGATTAAGTCTCTTGTGCAGACTAACTTTTCAATCGTCGTCATCTAATCTAAGGCTGAATCAACTTTGATCGGAGAGAAAAACGATTTGATTTTGCAGTGCAATGAATGATCATGATGTATAATTGTCACTTGACAACATACTGATATAGCCTTACACATTTTAAGAAGAAGCGTAGGAAAATCCAGAGACCGTTTAAGGAAAGCATCAAACCCAAGCCCTTGGAGTGACTATAGAGATAACTTTATTCTCATTCTTGATTTTACAAAATATCAATTTGTACAAAGTGTTAGATCAAAATTACTTACCGAGGGAAGTTACACAACGCAAATCAATATGTTTCTTAGTAGGAGAGTATCAAACCAAAATCTTAAATTCATAAAATTATATAAAATAGTGAAAACACTAAACTGCAAAAGATAAGTAAAGATCTCATAAAATCACAGGTGACCCAAGCTCCAGCTGTGATATGATCATCTTGCACAATAACAGTCATGGCGGAATTATGAGAGTTTGTATGGGAATATTTACGACCGCTCTGAGGAATAAAAAAATACGTAAAATTCTCAATAAAAATGTCTCACCTTACTTCCACAGCATATCGCTTTTCATCTGACCGCTTATTTTGATGAAAAGAACCCATTTTAGCGAGTTGTCCATTTCGAGGATTTTAACTTTTCTTATATACGTTAAAAACCTCGAAAAGCAAAACTCGCTAAAATGGGTTCTTTTCATCAAAGTAAGCAGCCAGATAACAAGCGATACACTGTGGAGGTAAGGTAAGGTATTTTTATTGTGAAAATTTGACGTATTTTTTTATTCCTTAGGGCGGTCGCAAATATTCCCATACAAACTCATATAATTCCGTTATGACTGTCATTGTGCAAGATGATCATCTCACAGCTGGAGCTTGGGCTGCCTGTGGTAAAATCATCGTGATTTGTCATAACTATAAAACTACACGTGTCTGAGTCAAACTCTGACAAATCTCTTTTTGGTGCTCACACTCTGATTCAAATTCCTCTATTTCCCACCGATCATTTACTTCTGACGCAATTCCGACTTCTACTGAGCAAACTGTAAAGTATATGCTTATATATTCGCTATCGATAAGCATGAGTGGGCATGCTGGTCAACTGAATTCGGAAGATCAAACACTTTTAAACATTTTTACAAGAATCTCACAAATAAACAACACGTACCTAATGCCTCCGATCAAGTGAATCAATCTTAGACTACATAAGCCAAAAAAAGAACTTTCGAGTGAGCCCAAGGCAATGTCAGTAGACAATAAAAGTAAACACGTCTATTTAATGAAATTAATCAAGCTTGAAAACAACTTGAAAACAGCTTGAAAACTCTCTTGCTCGATAGCTTAAATCTAAATAACTTAAGACTTCATGAAATCAATTGGTACGGCTACCGGCTAAGTACAAACGAATTACTACATCACACCGAACTAGTATAACACTTTATAACACTTACCAGCTTATGTATTCACGTCGCCACTGTTTGTAAATGGTAAAACGGCGTCAGATGATTTCTTCATCAGCCAACGAAATAACTAAATTCTCATTGTGGAGCCAAGAACACTGAACACACAAACGCAGACAGTGACAGGAATAGAGTACCAAGTTTTGACGTAATCATTGAAATAAAACATTAAGATCATAAAGTAGTTCTCTACTAAAAACAAAAATTGTGATAAAAGCACAATCAGGCTCACACCTTTCGAATCTGCATCAGCGAAGAACGCCGAAGCATCATCTCTCAGAGAGTGAATGCCCATAAACAAAATAATAAGGAAAACATATTTTATACCTCTTTTCATAATAAGAATCGCTATTACCACAGGACAAGAATGAAATGATAACACGCCAATAACCCACCACTTGTAGCTGACGGTGAAATAACAGATGGCGAACAATCGACTGCTCAGGAGAAGTAAGTGAGTTAAATACAATGCAACTTTGTGTTTTACTTTCAGGTCACTGCTTTTTGATATTATATTGCGCAGGACGAGAGTCCTTTCATCAGTTTTTGTGAAGGCCCAGGCCAGAGTGAGGAAAGAAACAGGTAAAGAAATCATTTGAATAATCGCAGCTGGTTCCTCTTGAACACTGATGGCGTACAACTGGATTATAAATTGCGGGGCGGACTCAAGGACTGCCTCAAAGAGCACAGCAAAGGCAATATGATCGAGTAAATTTTCAGCTTTGTCATAGGCATCGTCGTCGATTTCATCATTTCCAAACCACCATATCTTGAGACAGAAGATCAACGCTTCAATTCTTGCGAAGGCTGCTGAAAACGGATGGAATGCACAAAAAGCAGTTTTTGCATAAAGTGAAGATGAATAATTAGCGTCATCACGACGGAAAACGAGGAACAATGCCGGAGACACCAAACATGGCAATAAAACAAAAGTAAGCCCTACACCAAACCAAGTCTTGTGATCTGTGCGATAGAATTCCACCAGTGTGAGTATGTCGGTGATGGGATCAGCAAAACTCAAAATAGCTCCAACAAAGAACTCCAAAGGACTGTACCACTTAATATCTTCCACTTTCATATCGACGGACCTTTTGTTAGTTCGCCTACCAGATCGGCTTATATTAACATAGGTTCGGCTACCAATAAAACTTGTTTGTTGCACTGTGCTCGTAATCAGAGGCTTTTGAGCTCAGCCTCGACTAACAAGGTGCAAAGTTTCCTTTAGTTTAATTTGATTGAACTCTTAAGATCACAGAAGGTAGTTTGCAGTGCTCGTCTGTATCAATATCAGTAGAAACTGCCGATAACCGGTTGGTTCTCAGGAGATTCTTTCTGACGCAGTCTGGGAGAGCTGGTGTCTCTGTGTTTACATTTCATTGTATAATGGAAAAATTCAAACTTGAGCGTCTCAAAAGTTCTAATTATACTATGGTAAATATCACTGTAAGATATGCTGTATGCTGTAGCGTATTTTGGGTGAAAGCTTGATTCAGAGCGTACCTTGCTTGGGTAAAGGCACCGACGACTCTTGACTTGCCCTTTAAAGGTCTTCTTAATCTTTTTTCTCTCGTATAATTCTAGTTGCAATTAGATGAGTTCTACCGCTTCTCTTCTATTTAACCGCTCGACTGACTCTTGCTGATTTATCGAACCCGATCGACGTATAATTATTCTGAGCAGCTCCGGTCGACTGACTGATAACAAACCCTATATTGTACGCTTTTATTTTCATCATCGTTGCCATAGAGCCGTCGAAAGGTGGAAAAAATATCCAGCATGAGCCAAAATCTTAAATTCATAAACCAATGTTGTCCGAAAGTATCAGACTAACCGTTGTTTAATTTCGTTTAAATTGCAGTAAATACCTGCGCTTTCATTATTAACCTTAACAACTCGGAGCACAGGCAGCCCAAGCTCACTACTAGAAAAGCGGACGTGACTCTTACCGTGTTGCGTAACGTTTTATATTTATAAAGGTTTGTATGGGATGTTATCGGTTTGCCTTAAAAGAGAGAAAAAAATGTCTTGTTTTGAAATAAAATGGGCTTACCTTATTGCCTTGTTGTTTTCTTTGTTGATTCCGAGCGTCTCAGGCCATTTTGAAGCGTTTTCGGCGAGTTAGCGCTATGTTGGTGTTCAACTGCTAAAAGAAAGACAAGGCCGGAAACCTATTTTAGAAGCGTCCGTCGCCCGAAGCGAATAATTCCGCCAAAAAATTACCACCAGTCTCGATTCCTCCAGAAAATCAAAGCAGAGATGTTGCAGTTCCATTTTCCATTCACTCGATTCACAATTCCTCCCACAGATCTTTCACTAGCGATACTTTTATCTCCAGATCGATCGGCTTTCCAATTTCGAATTTGGCTGCTTGAAACGTTCGCGGCCCGTTCGCCGATCGCACAGTATGTTGGGTAACAAAAATAAGCCCGGCGAGGGTAGCCAGCGGCCTGCAGTCCAAAAACAATAAATCAGTAGAGCTAACGGGTTTGTTTTTGGACTGCAGGCCGCTGGCTACCCTCGCCGGGCTTATTTTTGTTACCCAACATACTGTGCGATCGGCGAACGGGCCGCGAACGTTTCAAGTAGCCAAATTCGAAATTGGAAAGCCGATCGATCTGGAGATAAAAGTATCGCTAGTGAAAGATCTGTGGGAGGAATTGTGAATCGAGTGAATGGAAAATGGAACTGCAACATCTCTGCTTTGATTTTCTGGAGGAATCGAGACTGGTGGTAATTTTTTGGCGGAATTATTCGCTTCGGGCGACGGACGCTTCTAAAATAGGTTTCCGGCCTTGTCTTTCTTTTAGCAGTTGAACACCAACATAGCGCTAACTCGCCGAAAACGCTTCAAAATGGCCTGAGACGCTCGGAATCAACAAAGAAAACAACAAGGCAATAAGGTAAGCCCATTTTATTTCAAAACAAGACATTTTTTTCTCTCTTTTAAGGCAAACCGATAACATCCCATACAAACCTTTATAAATATAAAACGTTACGCAACACGGTAAGAATCACGTCCGCTTTTCTAGTAGTGAGCTTGGGCTGCCTGTGCTCGGAGGAATAACCCTCAAATATTCCCATTCACAGATTTGGACACACCATTATCTTGTTAGATTCTCAGTACTCAAAGAATGGTTCCGGTTTCTTGGACACAGCTTTAGATCAAAATCAAATACCGAGTTAAATTACACAACTTGAAGTGTCGGCTATATACAAATCAAGGTATTTTGGTTCTATCAACTAAGTTGAAATTGTAAATCGGCCATCGTAACGAGTTAAGAAGCTGACGTTTCCAGCGTTAGCCCTTCGTCAGAACGAATGGAAGAATTCTGGAATGTGTGTGGTTTTATATGGAGAATGCGGAGCTACGCTATTGGTGGGAACATGGCGACGAGAAAAACACGATTAAATTATCATTTATTACTATTACTATTATTATTAATATTTATTCGTGTTTTTTTGTTGCTTGATACTGTACACACTCGCGTTCATTATGACATTTGATAAGTCACATGACATTTGATAAGTCACGCACAAAAGAAAGGGAATTTCCGCGCTCTTTCTCTTGAACGAAAGGCGCATTTTAAAGAAAGACAAAATATGAGGCAATTAGATAACATATTTGATTAAGCGTCTTGATTAGCAATTTTATTTGTAAAGTAAAGAAAGACAAAACACTCCTCTATAGTCACTATCGCTAGTACGAGAGAAGGAAAAGATCTACATCACAAATCAGAAATCTTCAATTCATAAACCAATATTCTTAAAAAGTTCCTGACTAGGTTGTTCTTTAAATGTGCATTCAAGGTCAGTAAATAGCATTCTAAAAAGAACTGTGGTTTTGTTATTATTCTTTAACAAATAACTAGTAACAACATTAAGTTGTTCTCATTTACAAATCGGTGAAATAGGATGATCTTCTTACGCTCTCAGAACTCAAAGAAGTTTCCAGTTTCTTGTCAGATATAGGATAACTTTTAATTCTATTTCTTGATTTTACAAATATCCATTTCAACACAGCCTTAGATCAAAATCAAATACTGCGAGAAGTTACACACCTTGAAGTGTCAACTAAATGAAAATCAACATCGTCCTACAACGGGAGAGGGAAAAATCCAGATCATAATTTGATTCAGAAACCATGATTCTTAGAAAGTGTCAGACTAAGTTGTTTTCAAAATGTGTAGTCAAGTGTAGTCAACAACTTTCCTAAAATAACTGCGGTTTCGTTACGATTCGGATAAATGACTTTGGGTTTTCACGTTCGTATTTTTATTCGTGAAAACTGTTCTTGAAACTTAACTTTCAAAGTTCATGACTTGAGGCCTTTCAGTTATCTTGATTCAGTTAAAACTTCGTATACACGTTTCATTAAAGATGAGATTCGTGTTCGAAGGAAAATGGCGATCCGAAGAATGTTATTTAGACTTAGGACTTTTCAAATACAAATCAACATAATTGTTAGTACAGGAGTGTCAAAATCCAGATCGAGATCAGCCAAAATCTTGAAATAATAAATGAAGTTTCCAAGAAAAAGTCAGAATTTTTAACCATTCACTCGAAGCAATAAGTAAGTATTCTATAAGTGCGTAGTACTCAATTTTATCCTTCCATTATTCACTACTTGTTACCAGGTTTCATTCCTTCTACAATAAAAGTCAAAAACAAAGTATCTCTGTTGGATGGGTATTCAGTCAAATCCTCGCCGTTTTAGCGTTTAATTTTGATAAATCACAATTTATTGAACATATGAAATAAATTTCAGTTAATCAACAACCCTTGTTTCTATTTTGAACTATGAGCTTTGCTGAATTTCAGCCTTTGTCCGCGAGGGATCCACCGTGAGAATCCTGAAACCATTCAATCAGAGCGAACTTTGGCATCCCCGGCGACACGTGCCTGCAAACTCAACCACGGTTTTTTTGATCTCACACGAAATAAGCAACAGCGTCCACTTTACCAAAAAATGTGCTTTTTCTGTCTGCCCTTTCTCGTCCGTCATCGGAAAGCAGTAAGGTTCGCCAGGTTCTACGCAGGTGCAGGGCTAGTCGAGCGTGTATTTCTTCGTGGTCTTTTTACCGAAAACCACCGAGGTCTTGGAAACATGCCTCCGGCCAGTCGGGCAAGGAACGCTTCCACGCCAGCTGATCCCGGCCCTATACATACCGATATCGAACTTAGCAGGCTATACGTAAAGGATCTGTGATCCCTGTGTAGCAGGCTAAACCTCACAACGACCGGAGGGCGTGCTGCCCTGATTAAACGAATTGAAGAGGCACGGACTAACACTGAAAACCTTCCTGGCACTCCGTCTCCTATTCAAGATGGCGACGAGCACGTGGAAAATCAAAATGATCAAACTGCCCTTGAAATGCAATTTCAGCAGCTTCAGCGCCAAGTCCAAGAGCTACTGGACAGGGAATCGCCACTAGACGGGCTTTTATCAGCCACTCAGCTCACTCAAGTACAATCGATTGTTCAAGGGTCACTAAACGAGGCTATCGAAAAGGCTGCATCAGCCGTCGCTTAAGCCGCAGTTAGCGCCTTCAATGGCTTGTCTCCACCAGCTACTGCTCCACCGACGCAAGCAAGCGATTCCTCTGAGAACGATGCAATGCAAAGATCTTCAAAGGAGCTAAATGCAAGTCCACAACATTATTCTGCTACAGACCCAGCAGTGGATTCTGTGCACGAGCTGCCGACGAAAGTGGTCAACGAAATCCTAACTGGTGAGTTTATGGAACATTCGAAATTGCTTCCCAAGAACTAGAACGTCTTAAACTCGTCCCAGGATGAACCACTTACCCTTACTTTAGAAAATCCAGTTATTAGATTAAACAAGGCCAAAGCTACATCTATAACTGACATAACATAATGGACAACGGCCTTTACTGCCTACATGGGAGTTCTTATCAGCAAGTTCCCACACTGTGCTTCAAAACTATTAGAATATATGTCTCTAACTCGATACGCCGTTATATACCACATGTACACAAGATCAAGATGGCGGCTAAATGAGGGTCCCGAATACGCTCCGCATGTCGCTATATACCACAAGAACACATGATCAAGATGGTGGCTAAAGGTCCCAAGTGCGCTCCGCTTTCATTACCGTCATTCTCTTCTAGAGTATGCTGCAAGCTCACTTTATTATTCCTTGTGAGTACTCTTTGTGTCAGCCGAACAATTATGAGCCTCATATGCGAGAACAAGCCGTATTCAACAGCCATTTTGCTTAGCGGCAACGCGCATGGAACTCAGTATGGCATTCGACATGTTATTGTCCCTCGGGCGTTCTCGAAAGTGAAGCTGTCATATTATCCTAACTCCTTGGCCACTTATTCTACGAGGAGAATTATACTTTATGGAGATGTGGAACTAAATCCTGGTATGATTAATGTCAATTGCAGTGGTACAAAGACAGGAATAAAGCGAAAGCAACGAAATATTAACATCGCACATTTGAATGTTCTCTCGCTGAAGAATAAAGAGCATTACATCCTGGCAAAGGACTTGGCGAAAAAGCATAAACTGGATATCCTCGTCATTTCGGAGTCATGGTTAACGGACGCTGTCTCCAATTTAGAGGTTGAATTCCCTAGATTTTCCTTGTTTAGATTAGACCGAAACTATAAGATCGGAGCTTTAAATGCGTCCAACTTG